CCACTGTCGCACCGTCCCCACTGTCCCCACCACTGTTCCCACCACGGTCCCACTCCCCCTACTGTCCCAACTGTCCCCACCACTGTCCCACTGTCCCCACTGTCCCCACCACTATCCCACTGTCCCCACTATCCCCGCCGCTGTCTCACTGAGCTGTTCCCACCACTGTCCCACTGTCCATCACTGTCCCTACTGGCCCCATCACTGTGTCCCCAGTGTCCCACTGTCCCACTGTACCACCACTGTCCCCATCACCGCCCTCACCACTGTCCCCACCACCACCGTCCCCCACCATTGTCCCACTGTCCCCACTGTCCCCACACCACTGTCTCACTGTCCCCACACCACTGTCCCCACTACAACCGTCCCCACCACTGTACCACTGTCCCCGCTGCCCCCACCACTGTCCCACTGTCCCTACTGTTCCCACCATTGTCCCCACTGTCCCCACCACTGTCCCACTGTCCCCACTGTCCCCGCCACTGTCCCACTGTCCCCACTGTCCCCGCCGCTGTCTCACTGTGCTGTCCCACTGTCCCAACTGTCCCCGCCACTGTCCCACTGTCCCCACCACTCTCCCCATTGTACCGCAGTCCCATTGTCCCACGACCGTCCTCGCCACCGTCGTCACCACTTTTCCCACCACTACCGTCCCTACCACCGTCCCACTGTCCCCACTGTCCCCATCACCACCGTCCCCACCACTGTCCCACTGTCCCAACTGTCCCCACAACTGTCCCACTGTCCCCACACCACTGTCCCCACCACCGTCCCCACCACTGTCCCACTGTTCCCACCACTGTCCCACTGTCCCGAGGAGCGGGAATCGTTTGCCGGCGTCGAGGGGGGGGTTCGAACAGGTAGTGACCCCCCCTCTTTTTATGATGGACTCGGGGGGGGGGTCGATTTCGGGGGGCTGCATGAACCAGTTCGGGGGGCTGCGCTGCTCGATTTTGCTTCGAGGGCAAAACTGTCATTCTGTAACAGCTCTGGGGAGTGGACGTTTCGAAGCAATCTGGGAAGATACCGTCTTATCGACTACATCCTTATCGGCTCGCGCGCCAGATGCATTACGAGTGACAGCACAAATATTCTCGACCTTGGCTCGGACCATCGTGCCGTTTCTGCTACCATCGAGTTCAAAGTTGCCAGACGATGGACAAGCAGACAGCAGAATTCTCGATGTAAATGGTCAGATGTGTCAAGCCAGGACATTCAACGATACACGGAGTCAGTGGGCTGCTGGGCCTCGCAGCATATTGTCGAAAATTTCGCAGAAATCGAAAATGCCATCCGGTCTTCAGCAGGGGAACATCTGCAAACGCAGACAGCGACGACCCAAAGCCCCTGGAATTCTGACGTTGTCCTGCAGGCGAAAAGAGACCGGGGTCAGGAGAGAGACCCTTTCAAGAGGAAAGCCTTGCATTGGCGCTGGAAGCGGGTACTCCGGAAAGAAGTTCGGATTTGGAAGACTCGGCAGGCCGCAAAGATCTTATCTGAGTTTCAAGGTTTATCCCGCTTGGACGTTGTATGTCACGTTCCGGTTGAGCGGGAAATTCCTGCCAAGCGGCCAAGCGACGGGGAGCTTGCGCGAGCTCTCGCCGAAGTGCACTCGAGGGAGACGCCGACTGAAAGACCGCTGCCGCGAAGTGTTCTTCGCGACGTTCCCCCGTTCAGCACTGCAGAACTCAGGGCAGCTTTGAGAAAGCTAGCGCGCAACAAGGCCGCAGACACCGAGGGCATTGCGTTAGAGCACATTCTGCATTTACCTCTGCGAGCAAAGAAGCTCATTCTTGACCAGTACAACAAATGTCTGAACGAAGTGGCTTTCCCGAAGGAGTGGCTGCATACGACTTTCACAATGCTGCCCAAGCCGGGGGACGCGTCGAAGGCTTCAAATTGGCGCCCAATCGCCGTGCAAAGGATATTATACAATATTCTGGCTAAAATCCTTCTGTCAAGGATTTCGCCGAAATTGGAAGCAGCGCAGGGGAAAGATCAATGTGCGTACCGGCCTGGCTTCGGCGCCGACGAGGCTCTGCACTGCGTGGAACACATGATAGGATTTGCGCACGCGTTTAACCAGGATCTTTGGATCGTCAGCCTAGACCTGAGCAAGGCGTTCGATAAAGTCTTTCACGAATCTGTTATCGAAGCAATCTTGCAGCAAGGTGTAGATGAGGCTCACGCTTCCTTGTTGCAAGAGCTGTACTGGGGACAGACGGGCCAAGTTGGCACGAGCGACGTCTTCCAGCTCTTCCGGGGAGTTCGCCAGGGCGACGTCCTCAGTCCGTGCTTATTCAACGCAGTCATGGAGATGGTGTTCAACAGGTGGAAAGGCCGCCTCACTACGCAGGGTTGGGAACTCCCGGGACAGGCAGAACGCCTCACGAACATTCGATTTGCAGACGATGTTCTGCTGTATGCCCGCTCGCTGGAGGACGCAAAAATCATGCTCTCGCTCTTGATTGACGAGTTCCAGGCCGTAGGGCTGCAACTGAACGCCGCGAAGACTAAGATCTTATCTTCCAGAGACGTGGGTGCGCCACCCGGCACTTGCAAAATCGAATGGATTGCTGGCCGCTGTTTTCAAGTGCTGTCCGCGAATGATTCCCACGCATATTTGGGGAAAGCCCTCAATTTGTCAAAGAACAGGGCAACAATTGCCGTCAAAAGGAGGATATCAGCGGCATGACACCAATTCCAAAAGAAGCGCCACATTCTCATGAGCCAGCATTTCGGTGCCAGTCACCGAATCAAGCTCTTCAGCTCGACGGTATTGCCAGTCTTGCTGTACGGGTTGACCACCCTGGCGCTGAAGCCGCAGCACCACGCCATGCTCCGGGGAGCGCGGACAAAGATGCTCCGAAATATGGCTGGCTGGAGGAGAGCAGAAGGCGAAAGCTGGCAGGACACGATGCGGAGGATGCAGACGCGCGTGTCGAACATGCTGTCCACGGCAGCCTCCCCAGACGCATCGGAAAGGATGTTCTTTTTGAAATGGCGGCTGGCTCGCCGGCTCTTCTGCGCAGGAGTTGAGAAATGGGCTCCCCATCTTCGACACCTGCAGTCTGCTCACAAGCGAGCACGAGGCAGACCACCGCTGCAATGGATAGATGACTTCAGACAGTTTTGCGCGCACGCCGGCGCAGATTTTCTGGAACAGGCGCTGCAAACGCCGGGGAGGGAGAAGCAGTACGTCGAGTTCTGCATGATGAAGGTGTGATGCCCCTCCCCCCCTCTCCCCTCCCTTCTCCCTCCCTGCTTGCCCCTCCTCTTCTGCATTTTTTCCGAATTCCCAACTCCATTTTCTGTTCATGTCTCACAAATTTGTTGTCTGGCTGGTAGACTGATTGCACACCCATGCCCTGCACAGGGCCGAGCAGCCGGCAGGCATGCTCGAGTGGCTCGCTCGCTCGCTCGGGGGGGGGGGTTCGAGCCGGTAGTGACCCCCCCCCCCCGGTTTTCGAGGGATGGGGGGTGGGGGGGGACGGGTTTGGGCCCCCCAGCGGTTTTCCGCCAGCAGCGTTGGAACACGCTCTTTCAAGTCTCGTGGCAGGCCCTGCATGCCCGCGTGCGCCCCCCCCGCTGCGGAAGACTCGGGGGCCTATCGTAGAGACCACCCCCACGGGTAGTTTGCGACGTCCCCCGAAACAATGCCAGTCCGCCATCCTCGGAACGCTTTCCAAGTCGAGCCCAACCCTGTGAGGTTCATCAATCGTGGACGAACCGCCCTCAATCCTCACACTGTTCTGGAGCTTTTCGCGTCACCATTCCTCTGGGAGGGCAGCTCAACAGCCCCCCCGCGGACCCTAGCCCCAGCGATTCCGCATGTCTCTTTGAAGCGCCTCAGTCAGGAAGGCCCCGCAGCACATCGCCGCCCCTGCCACCCTCCCTTGCGCCGCCGTCGCCGCCACCCTTACCTAGCGTTCAACTCTGTCAGTTTTCTTACCTTGGCTCTCTTTTTTTATCGCCTATCCCCCCCCCGCTTACCTTCTGTTGTGCTACGTGCAGCCCCTAGTACCGCGAGGCGCATTCCAGAAGCGCCCATTCTTGGCCCAAGCGAAAGCAGTGCTGGATATGTTGTGAGGGCCGACCGCCGCCGAGACGGTCAAACGTGCGTCTAGAGGCCCTCATGATTGCTAGGTGGCACGCTTCTAGACGGCCACCATGGCCTCCAAGACGGCCAAGATGGCCCAACGTAGCTTCGAAGTCGGCCCACGATGGCCCTACGGCGGTCTATGACCCAAGACGGCCCGTCGAGGACCTACAGGAGGCCTCCAAGAAATCTGTAGGGTAGGACATTTTGACATGCTTTCCCTTGTTTGGTCGACAAAAATTCGAGGAAGGCCACCGGGCCCTTCAAAGTCGGACCCCAGCCACAGACGGCTCTCCGGACGTGCACCGGGATGCTGCCCCAAGATGTCCCCAAGATGGCCCCGAAGGCTCCCAGAGGGCTCCAAGAAAGACGGCTGGCCAGATTTGGCCATCACGCCAGAATGCCAGCCATGTACAATCCACAGGCAAGGGAGGGGGTGAGGGCAAGGTTGCGACGTGTGGCTTGTGCAAGGGTGATGCCCCTCCAAACAGCAGTGGGCCTTGGAGGAGCTGAAGGTGAGGGCCCGTTGAGCCACTTGCGCCCACAGGGCAGGTGCGACATCAAACGGGTGCTGCGGTCTTGGGACGGACGCCCCGTCTCGATAGCACGAGGCTTTTTTTCATACGGCAGGTTCGCGCCGCCTCGACGCGTCGGCGACGCTGGCGCGGGCGCTCAAGGTTGAACACCCAGGGGCCTGCTTCGGGCCCCAGGATTCACAGAACACAGCGCACGGCAAGAAATCTACACGGAAGATGGGGTCGACAGCCTCTTGGGGCCGAGAGCAGAGATCGTTCAAGGCAGAGATCGCCCAAGGCTGAACGGTTGATGCGGTGTCACAAGCCAGGGACCGCGTCGCCAAGACAGAGACCCACCGTTCTCCTCATTACCCTCGCTGTTCGGACTCGAGGCCTTTTTGCCGGCACTGTCTCAGTGGCAACTGCTGCCGTCGCTCGCCGTGCTGGCCAGGGTTGCGCCGCCATGCCCGCGCGCGTGGGCCCGTGCGTGGGACGCCGAGCAGTGGCGCATGGCTTGGCGTTGTTGTGCGTCGCCGCGATGGCCTTGCTGCACTGCTCGCCAGCGCAGTCCACGCCGGGGATGCCGCGCCAGGCGCCATGGAGCGGCCCGCCGCCCTACGAGCCCCAGCGCTACAGGTCCGCTCTGCCGCACTACGAGCCCCGGCGCTACGAGCCCCATCACTACGCGCCCGCCCAGCCGCGCTTTGAGCCCCGCCGCTACGACTCCACTGCTGAGCTGCGCGGGCCGCCGCCAGGGCAGCAGCTGGTGCAGGCACGCTATGGAGACCGCTCGTACGGCTCCGTGCCCGCGGCGCAGACCCCCCTGCGCCCGCAGAGGGACGAGCACCAGCGCTACAGCTCTGCTCCGCCTCACTACGAGCCCCAGCGCTACGAGCCCCGTCACTACGCGCCCGCCCAGCCGCGCTTCGAGCCCCGCCGCTACGACTCCACCGCTGAGCTGCGCGGGCCGCCGCCAGGGCAGCAGCCGGTGCAGGCACGCTATGGAGACGTCTCGTACGGCTCCGTGCCCGCGGCGCAGACACCCTTGCGCCCGCAGAGGGACGAGCACCAGTTGGGGGTGCATCGGGACTACGGAGCCCGCCGGGATGATGGCCGCTCCTCTCCGCGAGCGTGGCCGTTGCAGGCCCAGCCATCCTATCAGACCAGCGTCTACGAGAGGGGGTATCCTGCGGCACACGGGGCACACGTGCAGCCACCTCACGCCGCACGCCGCTACGACGAGCCTGCGGCTGCCAACCCAGTGGCCCAGCAAGCTAGAGCGCGGCCGACCTACAGCACCGGGGGGTACGACCAGCCCGCGCGTCACAGGGGACCGCGGCCGCCGTACGGCGAGGCCCGCAACTACGTTCCCGAGCCCGCGGAGCGCATGGAGGATGCAGAAGCAACGGGCTCTCTTAAACATGAGCCCCCCTCGCGCAGCGTGATACCGCTCCTGCTCTTCTCCTGGCCCCCCAGGAACTCGCTCGCACTGTCGAAGGAGCAGCCTCATGGACACTTCGCCCCGGATCCCCGGGGTCGGCCCCACGCCCACGCTTGGCAAGTCGATGGCGACCCTTCGGAGGTATCGCCCCAGATCGCCAGATGGGGGCCCTCGGCGCCGCGGCGGGCCCCTTTGGGCCCAGTTCACGGCCGACCGAGAAGCCTCTGCGGGCCCCTTGCTCAGTGGTGTCGGCGCTTCCCGTCCGCTGCCCAGCTTCGGAGCACCGATACTGGCCAGGCGGGCCCTGGCCCCAGAGTTGGTGTGCTCGCCTTCCTGGCCAAGCCAGAAGGGCGTGCACACCGACCTTGGGCCTCGGTGCCGGCGCATAGTTGACGCCATCCTACCTTGGAGTTGTACCTTCCGCACCTGCTGCGCGGCAGGTGCCGCCGAAGCCGCCACTGCGCGGCACCTGCGCGCGGAGGGCGAGGAAGGCGCAGCTCGAGGGTACCCCTTTTGGCACCACAACAGCTTGGCAAAGCCATGTTCAGCGCAGAGCCGAGCGAATCTTGAGGCCAGCCCCCAGGCTGCACTTTCTGGGGGCGCTGGGAAGAAAAAGAGTCACTGATCCCCATGAGCTGACAACGAGCACCCATACCTGTGCGACCCCCAGACTTCTCGGGGGGAATTCTGGGGGGGGGCTATGGGTGTGTGTGTGTGTGTTGTCGGATGGGGATCCCCGCTCGAACGGGAGCCACCCTCGGGGTCCGACAACCAGCACCCACCTTACTCTTCCCCATTCCTCTCCCTGCAGGTTTCAGTGTGCTGTTCTTTCATCAGATCCCCTCCTGCCCCCTTTACCCTCGGCTCCCCTCCGCCCCTGGTGCCTCCCAGGAGCGCCCGCTTGCCTTCGAGGGGCCGCTGGCGGCGCTCCCGGGCGAGGCAGGGCTGCGCCAGGACCAGGCCCCTGTCGGCGAGCAGGAGGGGGCCAGGCTCTGGGGGGAGGGCTGCCCTCTGAGAAGACAGGGCAGGCCAGGTCACCCACGTCGGGGGACGCACAGCCCAGGCCGCCCAGGCGGAGGAGGAGGAGGAGGAGGAGGAGGAGGAGGAGGAGGAGGAGGAGGAGGAGGAGGAGGAGGAGGCGGAGGCGGAGGCGGAGGCGGAGGCGGAGGGAGGCGGAGGAGGCGGAGGAGGCGGAGGAGGCGGAGGAGGCGGAGGAGGCGGAGGAGGCGGAGGAGGCGGAGGAGGCGGAGGCGGAGGCGGAGGCGGAGGCGGAGGGAGGAGGAGGAGGAGGAGGAGGAGGAGGAGGAGGAGGAGGAGGAGGAGGAAGAGGGAGGATGAGGGAGGAGGAGGAGGAGGAGGAGGAGGAGGAGGAGGAGGAGGAGGAGGAGGAGCAGAGGACGGGGTCGTAGCATCGTCGATGCACCGCCGAGGCATCGGTGGCCTCCGCTCCGCTGTCCACCTCGTCGGGCCTGGTCGGGCCCATCCGGGGTCTAGCATCGGCAGAGGCGCCTGCCCGACCGAGCCGTGGGGGCACACCGGCGTCGCGCCCGTGGGCCGAGGACGTGGGCGCGGTCGGGGTCGGCGGAGGCGTGCTGCCGCCGGCGCCCTCCCGACGGGTCGGCCGCGTGGGGCTCGATGATGGCCGCGCTCGGGGTCCTGGCTGGGGAGCTGCCTCGGGGGCGTCCAGGGGGGGTGGGGGATGAGGACCAGGGGGGGGGATACCATGGACCATGAACCTCCCGACGGGTCGGCCACGCGGGGCTCGAGGATGGCCGCGCCTTGGCTCTTCGAGGTCCTGGCTGGGGAGCTGCTTTTTCCTCGGGGGCGTCAGGGTGGTGGGGGGGATGACCAGGGGGGGCTGGATACCATGGCTGGGGCCACGATCTCTCCCCAGATTTCATGGCGCCTCTTCTTGTCTCAGCGCGTCCCCTGGCTCTTCCCCCCCCCTGGGCCGCGCACGTGCCTCGGGCCACGTTCTGCGAGCCCCCCTCTTGGACCCCCGCCCTGGACGCCCCCGAGTGCCGCTTCAGTGGGCGAGGGATGGGCGCGGTCGGGGCCCGTGGAGGTGTGCGGCGAGCGTTCGCCGGGGACAGGTCGGCCACAGGGGCTCGTTCGGTCTTCAGCGTGCGCTAGCGTCTGTCTGGTGATCGATGGGAAAGCGCCGAGTATGCGTCGTGCAGTGTTGTTGGTACAGCATGTAGCGATGCTGTATATGACGTTTTGGGGTAGGCGGTACGTGTGCAAACAAGCTCGGAATACCACACGTAGCGCGGACGATGGGCTTCGAGCGGAGCTTCGCCCACTCGTCCTGGGTGATGTAGTTCTCGAACCTGAGGGTGTGTTAGCATCGCGAACATAGCATGAACGTCGACTAGCGGCGGCTAGCGTCGATTCGCAAGAGCCAGCAAGATGGCATGTGAGGCTCCCATGGGTTGCTACAGAAGGCTCGATGACGATCGCGCCTTCGCCCTTCGCGGTCCCAGCTGGGGAGCTGCCCGTCTCCAGGGCGGCCGCGCCAAGAGCGCGAGGATGATCGCGCTGCGCGGAGCGCGGAGCGTGAGTGCGGAGCGCAAAAGTACGGTAGGTTCGTGTCGTGTCGACGCGGCGGCGACCCCAACGCGGGCGTTCAAGGTTGAGCGGCGCCTGTTTCCCGGAGTGGGCGATCCGTGTTGTCGGGATGCCACGATCGTTGAAGGTTGAACGATCTACGTGGTGTCAGCGCACAAGTCGTTACGACACGAACCTGCCGTATGTGACCGAGCCGAGGGGACGCAAACTGCCCAGGCCTGGAGCATCCTGCGGAAATGACGGCTGGCTGGCTTCAGTATATCGTCCTCCTGCATTGCTGAGTACGGGGGCCGCCGGGTGCCCGCCACCCACGCCGCGGCGGTGGGAGAGAGCCCTGGGCCCCCCAGGCTCCGGAGAAGTCAGGGCGCGGGAGGCCCGGATGTCCGCCTGCACCCATCCTGGCGCCAGGCCATGCTGGGTGTGTGAGATCGGCGACTATACGTCTCCCTGGCCAGGGCGCAGGGGCGGGGGCCCAGGGCGCAGCCACCGAGCCCGTGTCCAGGATGGGCTCGGCCAGGCTCGGTGCGCGGGCGGCCCTCGTGTCGCCCGCGGGAGGCCTGCGGGCCGACGAGGCCTTGCCCCCCCCCCCCCCCCCCTCTCCTGCCGGCAGCCGGGTCAGCCTCTGTGGCGCGGCGCTGTGCTGTTTGTTGTGCTGTGCTCGTCTGCCTGCTTTGCTCTCTTCGAGCTGCCTCCTCTCCACTCCTCCCGCCCCCTCCGTTTCCAACCCGAGGGGCCCGAAGATGACCTCTCGTTGCCCTCCTCGCGTCGCGGGGCGCGACGTTGGCCGACCTAGGAGAGCGGGTGGCGAAGTCCTCACGGGCTTAGCGTGCGGCAGGCTCGCAGCTCGCCCGCGCGGCAGCGACCCCGGCGCGGGCGCTCGAGGCGGGACTCCGCCCGGGGCCGTGGGGGCGGTCGACACCGAGCGAGCTGCGCAGGCCGCGAGGAGCGACAGCTCGAGGGCGAAGGAACCTCGCGGCGCCAGAGGCCGGCGCCGACGGCGCCGCGAGACGTGGAGGAGGAGGAGGGGGAGGAGGAGGAGGAGGAGGAGGAGGAGGAGGAGGAGGAGGAGGAGGCGGAGGAGGAGGCGGAGGAGGAGGAGGAGGAGGCGGAGGAGGAGGAAGGAGGAGGAGGAGGAGAAGGAGGAGGAGGAGGAGGAGGAGGAGGAGGCGGATGATGAGGAGGAGGCGGAGGAGGAGGAGGAGGAGGCGGAGGAGGAGGAGGCGGAGGAGGAGGAGGAGGAGGCGGAGGAGGAGGAGGAGGCGGAGGAGGAGGAGGAGGAGGAGCAGGAGGAGGAGGAGGACCACCGCCAGCCCGTGCCGCTTCTCAGAGGGCAGGTCCCTCCTTCGGCGCTTGGCTTCTGCCTTCCCGCCGCCGGCAGGCGGTGGCGCCGCGGGGGGGCACCAGGCCTCGACGGGGGGGCCCATAAGCCTCGGGGGTGCCGCCGTTGTCGTTCGACGCCGACGCCGACGCCGACGCCGCCGCCGCCGACGACGACGACGACGCAGGGTGGCAGTGGCCGCCAGATGGCCTCGGCTGCCGTGTGGTGTCGGCCGCGGGGTCGGCCGTGGCCGCCTGGGTGACCACGGTCAGCGGGGTGGCCGCGACCGCAAGGGCGATCGTCGAAAGTTGGATTGGCGGCCAGGGGGCATGTGTCGCTTACGCATAAGAATGACCTTTCGCCAGAGAGACCTTCGGTGCGGGCCCAGTGGGGTTCCCCGATCGCTGAACGCGACGCGGTAGCAGTGGCTTGCGCGCCCGGGCTTGGCCACCCCGCGTCCCCCCTTAAGTCGCGCACCAAAGGTCACTCTTGCCCAGGGTCACTCTTGCGCGTAGTCGAGTGTGCTTCACCATTCGCGCGGCACTCGGTTGGCGCCGCTGCTCCCTTGGGGCAGTAGAGGACCTCGGCCGCCGGGCGGATTCGGCTGCCAGAGGGATCGTCGACTGGTTGGACTGGCGGCCAGGGGGTCGTAGGTCGGCTTGGACCTGGGCGGCAACGTATCTGGACTTCTTCTGGGGTTGGTGGTCGAGGGCTTGTGCAAGAGCTGCTTCACTCGCCTTTCTGTTCTTCTCGTTCCGTGGTTTGGGTGCCCCCCATGTGCTTCACCATTCGCGCGGCACTCGGTCGGCGCCGCTACTCGCTCGGGGCAGTGGAGGTGTTGGAGACTTCGCCCGACGGCCCGTCGGGAGATCCGCTCGCGGTCCTGGAGCCCTGCCGACGGACCTGGCACGCCAGGGAGCCCGGGTGCGTGTCGGAATCAGGGCTTTCTGACTTGCCCAGGCATGTGCCCCATCCGAGGTGTCTAGATCGGATGTTGCCAGAAGTGCCCCTGTCCCCAGAGTGCCCCCGGGAACCCCAAGGAGGCCCCCGCGGCCTCGGCCCTATGGGGCTCCAAAGTGGAACGAAGAGCTGGGGGCACCTTGGGCCAAGGGCACCTCTCGCAGGCCCCGACCAGAAGTTCCCCGAGCTGCAAACGTGTGCAGGGCCCCCCGCAGCTGTGCAAGGGTGCGTGCGTGCCGCAATACCAGGCGGATTCTACAGAGGGGCTCGCCTTCGAGGATCTTCCTCGGTGCCTCTTCCCCGGCGGAGGGTGGCGCGAGGCCCGCGGAAGTTGGCGGAGGTAAAGCGAGTCCGCCTCCGCCGGCGGAAGCCGGCGGAAGGTGGGCGGAAGTCGGCGGAAGTCAAATTCGTCCTTTTAGAGATGGCAAGGCTTTTTGGCTCAGAGGTTGGGGAACCCCCCACATGACCCTTCCACGGTATTGTTGCTCTCCTCCTGTCGTCTGCGTCCTTGTTTGCATCGTCTGACGCGGCGCTGGGTCGCTGCTTCGCAGTCGCATATCTGACACGAAAGGTGCTCTGCAAACTTGCTGCACCGTTTTAGGAGCCCTTCTATTAGCAGCTGCTTTGTTCTTCGATATCGCACCTCCAGGAGCTCACTGTCCCACGGCAGCTTCGCGTCATGTCGATGCGGCGGCGACCCCGGTTCGGACGTTCCAGGTTGAACGCTGCCAGTGCCCCAGAACTGGCCAGCGTGGGACAATAGCTGCCGATGGTTGAAAGCTGAACGATCCACGCGGCGTCAAGAACCAGCGCACAAGTCGCCACGACACGAACCTGCCGTACACATATTCGGTTTCGGGTCCTCGGTGCACCTCAGCCTTTGACATACACTGCCGACAGGCTGCACTGGAGGCTGTCCGAGGCCGTGGTGGACCGCCAGCACCGCCTCGACTCCGGAGAGTGGGATCCCGCGCAGATCGGGCTCTTCGCCAAGGAGGTGCCTCGGTAGCAGATCATGGGAGCCTTGTTTTCCTAACTCTGTCTTTTAGAATGCACTAGCGTCGGAGTAGCGTCTGGTAATCGATGAGATAGCGCCGATTTAGTGTCGATTGGCGTCGATTTGTGCCGATTTTGCGTCGATTAGCGTCGATTAGGGTCGACTAGCGTCGATTAGCGTCGATTCGCGAGAGCCAACAAGATGTTTGGAGGCTCCCACGAGTTGTTGCAGCAAGGTGGGAGAGGGTGGCCAGCGCCAGTTCTTCGTGGACACCTTCGCAAAGTTCAGCATGGACGTCGCCGCGCAGCCGCGCGGGAGCCACCTCTACGAGGTGATACTTGAGGACCAGCCCTGCTGGCTCTACTTCGATCTGGAGTTCTATAAAGATGCGAACCCACAGCTGAACTCCGACGCGGTCATGGCGCAATTCCGCGAGGCACTTGCGAGCTTCTGCGCGAAGGAGGGTTTTGCATACGACGAGTCTCGCATGGTCTTCCTCGAGTCGTCCACGGACAAGAAGTTCTCCATGCACGTGATCGGGAAGTGGATCGCGTTCCGTAACAATTTTCAGGCTGGGCAGTTTGTGGAGATGTTCCTGGAGTACGCAAGGGGTTCACAGGAGCTAGGAGATGGGTCTGGCACCAACTTGCTGTTCGTTCGTGGAGATCTTGACGACATTGAAGCGACGGTGTCCGTGGTCGATGCCTCCGTGTACAGCCGAAACCGCTGCTTTCGCGTTCTGCGCCAGTCCAAGTTTGGCAAGATCGCCACGCTGGAGCTGCAGGATGGTGGGGGCGTGGTGAGCGAGTCAGACTTGCCTCATTTCCAGGTGCTCCGGACACTTGCCTCGTTCGTGCCCGATGGAACTCCGTTCTGCGAGCACTTCAAGATTCCCGCGGATGCGAGGCATGCACCTCAAGCTGGGGTGGTCCAAGCAAACTGGAAAAGAATGACCTTTCCAAGAACCGCGCGGATTCTTGCATCGGCGCTGGACCCCTCTGGCTCCGCGCGCCAGGGAGGTGTGTCCGGTGCCGATCCAAGAAATCCATGCTTATGCAGTTTTTTCTTGTTCCAGGTGGTAGTGGACGCGGACTCGAATATGCAGATGTTGTTGAACTGGTTGATGGTAAAGTGGGATTCTATGCGCAGCGAGGCCGAAGGCAACATCTACAGCAGATACCTGCCCACCCAAGTCTCGAAACTAATCGAGCTGGACGACGGTAAATACATGGCGCAGCTTTCCAACAACCGCTTCTGTCTCCAGAGGGAGAGATCTCACAAGTCCAACGGAGTGTTCTTTATCATAGACCTGACCAAGGGGATCTTCTATCAGAAGTGCTTTGACCATGAAGACTGTGCTGGGTTCTCGAAGTTCCAGATCCCGGGCGAGTTCCTGCTTGCGTCACATGGCTTGCAGCGACAAGGCCCTGGTATGGGTCAGCTGTAGAGAGCGTGCTGCGAGCAAATTGGGTCGGATTGCTTCCTGGCGCAATCTCGGGTAAATCTGGGGCACGCGTAGCCGCGCAGGCTGGGGAGCGCCTGCGCGGGCGATCGACTTGCATCGTGCAAGGGTGGGAGGCACGCCCGCAAGATGGCGTGGCAAAAAGAATGTGCGGGGACCCCGCTGGAGTCCGCAAGGAGATGCAATTGGCGCGCGAAGCTCGATTCGAAAGTGCCGAGTTTGAGCAGCCGCCTCCTTGTAGCCTCGCGCTGACTGGGTCCGCAAAGTAAGCTGTGTGTGTGTGTATGACTGCTGCGCGCCTGAGAACCCTCTGCGCCGCTGACTTACAAGTGTGTGTGTGTGTGTGTGTTGTGTGTGTGTGTGTGTGTGTGTATTTTGGCATGCTGACTTGCAAGCTCAAGCGTGCAGGCAAGGCCCAAACGGCAGATCTCCTGGTCACTCTTTCTGTGGTCTCTTGGTTGGGATGCAACTCCTGGCATATTGAATTCAGCATCGTCGCTAGTATATCCGTGGTCGAAAACTGGCCCAAGCTGGCATAATGCTGTCGAGTTCCGCTTGCTCCTGTTAAATCCAGCGCAGTCGGGCCCGCTCCTGGGCTAAATCTGGGCCCAGCCAGCTCGATGGCACCCTTTTCGAGCTCAGCAGTCCCTGCTCGTTCCCACGAGAACCTCCCAGGAGCTTAGCTGCCCCGAGACGCCCGTCTTGAAACGCAGCACGTACCGTGTTCAAAAGGTCCGTGTTACCACGTTGCGTGTTGGCTCCACGTGTTGGCCCACGCTTTGTCGCACGCGCCGTGCCAGGCGTACGTTTCAATCTGCGTGCTGAGCTCCGTTTAGAGCACGCTACGGGTTGCGTGTTGCGTATCGGGGCGGCGAAGCCCATGGGATTGCTTCCCCACCCTGGTCTTCTCGTCCGCTGGCTGCAGTGCACGAGCGGGGGGCAGGCCTTCAGAGGCGCGCCGAGGGGTGGCGTGAACAGAGAGCGGAGTCACGCAGATCAAGTCAGCTTGCGCCCCCCCGCCCCCTCCACGCTCCACGCCCCAGGGATGCAGGCCTCGTCTCGAGAATGTTTTTTTTACCCTCTGGGCCACAACGCGCCTTATACTCCCTCCCCTCCCCCCCCATAACATAACGCCCCCCCCTTCCCCCCCTTCCCCCCCCATAACATGACGCTCCCCCCTCCCCTCCCCCCCCCCCCCCTATAACATGACGCTCCCTTCCCCTCCCCCCCATCACATAACGCTGCCCCGCATCCTCCTCCCCCGCCTCCCTCCCCCCATAACACACAACGCCCCCCCCCCCCCCCCTCAGTGCGCCCCCGGCGCTGCCGCAGTGCGTCCCTGGCACCAGAGTCCCCGGGGGGGGGGGCGCTGCGTGGGGCCTCCTGCCGTCACCCCTCCCTCTCGTCCGCCCCCGATATATAACGCCCGCTGTGGCCGCCGGCCAATAGAAATACCCTGGATCGCTTAATAGTCATCCCCCCGCCCCCTCCCCCTTGGAGTGCCCGTGGGGGTTGGCCGCGGCGCGTCCGCGAGGGTGCCAGGGGGGGTCTGGGGTTCGTTCCCTTCCCCGCCAGGGCGCGGGGGTGGTGCCGGGGGGGGTTGGCCGCGCCGCGTTTTCACGTTTGTCACCCCGTTCGGTTGGTTGATAAGAAGTTCGGAGTACGCTCTTCGATTCCTGCGGCTCGATTCGATTCGCTTTCGACGGCGTCCGAGTCCGATGCGATTCGACCTGGGCTTCCGAGTCGGGGTCCGATGTCTCAAGGGAGGCCTGCTAACGCCTGCCGGGTTCCGCCGATTCGTTTTCCCCCGACTGGGCTGCCGACTTCCGCAGAGCCGATTCATCTCGATCGCCGGACCGACTGCTCGCTTCGATTCCGGGCGCGCCTGGGGATGGGGGCGCAGCGCCGATGCGAGAAGGCCGCGTGCACCCCCCACATTTTATGGTAATGCAGTCTTGCTTCTTCGAGCCCCGCACCCTCGCGAACAACGTTCTGATGATGTCCGCAGGGGGCGCCTCAACGCGTGGGGGGGGGGGGCTGCCCCGCTGGAGGGCCCCGCGCGGCCCCGGCGCCGGGCGTCTGCCGGCGGCACTCGGCCCGCTGCCGATGCCGATGCCGCAGTCGATGCCGAGGCTCGGAAGACTTGGTGCACGCAGAGGAGGAGGAGGAGGAGGAGGAGGAGGAGGAGGAGGAGGAGGAGGAGGAGGAGGAGGAGGAGGAGGAGGAGGAGGAGGAGGAGGAGGAGGACCTGCGGCAAGCTGCTTTTTTCCCAGCCATCCTGTGTTGGGTCCTCGTTCTGAAGAGACAGCGCCCCGCGTCCCGCCTCTTCTCCTCCCCTCCTCGTCCCCCTCCTCCCTCCTCCTCCCGCCTCCTCCCACCATCATCCCATCTCCCCAGCATCCCATCAGCCCATAGCGTCCTCATAATCCCGAAGCCGCAGCCGATGCCGATGCCCGAGAGAGCCACACCTTCGGCAGTCGGGGCTCAGGAAACGGGGGCCAGTGCAGAAGGGGAGCGGTCAGGGCGCCGGATCCTGCAGGATCCTGCAGAGCCAGGGGCGCACTAAGCCGGGTTTTTGGGATCCTGAGGGATCTTGCAGGATATTGCAGAGCCCAGCTGACCCAGGTGTGGATTGACCCGGGTTAGCGTATCCCCGAGTAGCATTTCATGGGAGTCTTGCGTGGCCTTGGCATTCCTTCTTTGCAGGGTACCAGCGTGCGCCAACGTTTGGCAGTCGATGAGAAGGCGCCGGTTTAGCTTCGATGAGCTTAGATGTAGCGTCGATGAGCGTCGATTAGCGTGGGTTTTCGTCGAACCGCAAGGGCCAGCAAGATAGCATGGGAGGCTCCCGAGAGTCGCCACAGAACGCACCAATGACCGATGCCCCTCCCCTTGTTTTTCGTTCGCCCTTTCGGGGCCGCCCGCGGGGGTGCCCACGTCGCCGCGGCCGGATTCGCGCCCCAGGATCGGGATCAGAGCCCGCCCCTGGGAGAGGCTCAGGGGAGCGGCAGCATATGTGTCTTTTCGTTCCTTGTCCGCGACGGCCCAGCCGTAGGCCCGTTGTGCGTGCCTTCTACCACATGCCAGCGCTGTGTGCCAGCAGCCCCCGCCACGTCCCGCGGGGCAGCGCCTGTGCCCGCCCGTGAGCGCAGGCGCCTGGCGCCCTCTTGCCACCTGGGAGTCGAGGGCGGCCCCGCTCGCCTCCCGCCTTCTGCGCGCGGGGGCCGCGGCCCACTTCGCACGACTCGCCACGTGAGCCTGAGGCCGCCGGTGCCGCCCTGGAAGACGTTTGCCGTCCGAGCGGGCCTTGCCCTGCCTCCCCCCCACTCGTGCAGGCAGCGGATGGCGCTATCTGTCGCTGGGCGTGGGCGCTCGACGACCTCCTCCTGCAGGAGAGGTGCCCTGCCAGTTTTGTCACCACCCTGGGCGCAGTTACCATCAAACTGGTTGAATCGGCAAAGGCGTTGAGATAATCGCGCTGTCTGCCTGCGCCAGCACGGCCATCTCGAAGGCCGTTCTCGCGAATAGTTCGGCGGCGCAGCTGGCTGCCGCGCAGCCCGCCGCAGCTTCGGCCTCGAGAGGAGCCTCCTCGTCGCCCGCGGGGGCCGCCTGCCGCTCCGCGGCTGGAGGGCCCCCCTGCGGTGCCTCGCCAGAGCGGCGCCGTGTGCCTGCGCTCATGCTCCCTCTGCTTCTCGCTGGAGGCGCGCCCGATCTGCTGCTCAGTGGACCGGTGCCTGCCCGACCCACCTGCGCGAGCGCCAGGCCCGCGACGAGCAAGGGTGCCTGCGCTCGCCCGTGAGCTGCCGCGCCGCCCACGGGGGCCCCGACGGCTCCGGGTCCACTGGCGCTGCGACGGCCAGTGCCCAGCTCGGCCCGAGCCCAGCGATCTGCGCCCGCGCACGGGACTGGGTCCGCGACTGCAGGGCACCCTTTGCGCTCCCTGGGCGGGAACGCATCCTCATCCACCGCTCTCCAGGGGGCTCCCCGGGACCCCCAGGGCTCCCCACGGCCCTCCAGGGCACCCCCAGGGCCCCCTCAGGCCCCCCTCAGGGCAGGGCAGCCCCAGGGCCCCCTCGGGGCACCCCTGGGGCCCCTTGAGAGCACCCCCAGCGCCCCCTCGGGGCACCCCCAGGGCCCCCTTCGGGGGGCACCCCTGGGGCCCCCTCAGGGCTCCCCCGGGGCCCCCAGGGATCCAGGGCAGGATTCCAGAAGCACTGGACGTGGATGCTTCCCAGGCGGTTCGCCGCCCTGCTTCTGGCTTCGCCTCTGGCTTCGTTCTTGCCCGTCTCTGCCTTCTCCCTCGCCCGCCTCTGCGTCCGTCGTCCGCTCTCGCCGCCAGGCCGCCGCTGCTCCCGATCCCTCCCGCTCCACCTCGGCCGCTCGCGTGACCCCCGCGGTGGCTGCCGCGGCGCCAGCCCGGCGCGCGGCCGCCGAGGCAGCGTGCTTCCTGTCGGTGCACAGTGGGTCTGCGCACCCGCGGGGGTCGTGCCTGCGAGCCTCCACGGCGCCCTCGGCGCGCCGCCGCCGCCCTCCCGCTGCCCCGCCCGCGCGCCAGGGCGCGAGCCTGGGCAAGCCCGCATGCAAGAGGGACCCGACGCCATCGTCCGCGGGCCAGAACGTCCCGATCTGCTGCTGGGATCGCGCCCGCTTCCCCCCCCCTCCCCCCGCGGGAGGATGCCAGCTTGACTGTACACGTGCGCAGCGGGATGGGGATGGGGAGAAGGCACGAGGAAGCAGGACGGAGGATGGAAGAGGGAGGAAGGAGGAGGGAGGGGGAAGTAGGAATGATGGTCTGTGGAGATGGACTGCGGACGGTGGAGTATGATAGTGCTGTGGATGATGGTGCCAATGATGATGACTGGTGATGATGCTGATGATGATGCTTAACTATGCCAATGATGATGCTGATGATGATGATGATGATGTTGATGATGCTGATTCTGATGCTGCTACTGATGATGCTGATGTTGCTGGTGATGCTGATGATGGTGAAGGTGAAGGTGATGGTGATGATGGTGATGACGATGACGATCGATGCTGCTGATGATGATGATGATGATGATGATGATCATGATGCTGATGTTGTTAATGCTGCTGATGATGATGATGATGATGATGATGGTGCTGATGATGATAGTGATGACGGTGCTGATGCTGATGATGATGACGATGATGATGACGATGATGATGAAGTTGCTGCTGCTGCTGAATGATGATGACGACGACGACGATGATGATGATGATGATGATGATGATGATGATGATGATGATGCTGATGACGATGCTGATGCTGATGATCATGACGACGACGACGACG